AAAAAAAAATGGCCATACTACCTTGTTGCTTTTTATTTGTTAACTAGTAAATGTCTTTATTAACAAAGCATGCAACTGTATAGATAATTTTTATGCATTCTTTTCAAATATAATCTCTGGGGTACATGTTAACGTCAAACAGTAACAATGTAGAAAGGGCTTTCTTYTTGACTTTGTGTGTTCTCTGTTCCCCCAGAGTTATGTGAAAAGTTACAGCAGCCAGTTAGACATTAGAGATTAGTTCTGGTCTCCCCAAACCCTACCTCCTGGTCGGGCCACTGCTAACTTTATGTACTGTAGGGATATATCTCTCATAGCTTTCTAATATTTAAATAATCTTGCTCTGCTTAAAAAGTCATTCCTTGTTCAAGTGAGAAGCATGATTCCTTGGAGAAAGTTTCTTAAGGAAAATGATTAGAGGGCAGTTTATTAGTTCATCCAGAAATTATCTGAGAAATAAGTGTTGTCTTGGTCTCATGTAATCCTAAACATAGTGGTTTTATTTATTAATACAAATTTCAGATCAATTTTTGAATTTTGAGGTTAAGTTAAAAATGTTTTATTTAAAAAGCAAAACTATGTGTAGGCATACAASAAAAGTTTCTCTCCCACCCTGCCCAATTCTCCCTTTTCAGTTCACCACTTTTTATTAGATCCATTCTGAATTTTTTTTAATTTTTATTTTTTTAATTTATTGTATGTGGTGCTGAGAATCGAACCTTGTGTCTCGCACTTGCTAAGCAAGCACTCTGCTGCTGAGCTGCAATCCCAGCCTCCAGAATTTGATTATGAAAMTATAAGCTAATATAAATTTGCATTTTATTTCCCACAGTCTTACTTTTTTACACAAAAGGTAACACATTTATATTCATTGTTCTRTATGTTGCTTTTGTTCTACATCTTGGTATCTTTATGAATCAGTATACACAGGAGAGTGTTTTGTTTTTCATAGCTGCTTAGTATTCCAATCTATGCATACAGACATTTATTTGCCCAATTCTTTACTGATGGATACATGATTGTTTCTAATTGTTTATAATTAYAATCAATGCTGAAGTCAATAAYTATGTACATATATCATTTCACATGGGTGCAGATATAATTGTAAGTTTGCCAGTAAAAGTTGCTGGGTCATAGGGTAAATTCATTTGGCATTTTGTTATATGTTGACAAATTTCTTTGTAGTTGGGTTATACCAATTTACACTCCTATAGAAGTATATATCAGTGCAATCTTCCAACTGTGTGTTGTCAAACTAGTTTTTTGTCAATTTGTTGTGTAAAAGAGTGATTAGCAGTGTACCATACTTTTAATTTTAATTTCTCCACGAATTGTCTATTCGTATCTTGTGTGGTCTTTTAAAATTAATGTTGGGGAGCTGTGTGTGGTGTTGTACGCCTGTAATCCCAGAGACTCAGGAGGCTGATAGGAGGATTGCAAATTTGAGGCCAACCTGGGAAATTTTAGTGAAAGCCTATCTAAAAGATTAAAAAAAAAAAAAAAACACTGAAAGAGAATATATTGGATATTTTCTTGTTTTGTTTTTTATTCTGTGGTGCTAGGGATCATATATTGATACATTGCCAGGACCATATACAATAACACATTATATTTATTGTTCTRTATGTTGCTTTTGTTCTACATCTTGGTACCTTTATGAATCAGTATACACAGGAGAGTGTTTTGGTTAGGACTATAGACTAGTTGTTCTTCATGTCCCAGACTACTGAATCAGCATCTCTAGAAGTGAGTCTCAGGACTCTGCACTTTTGACAAACTCATTAGTAAATTTTGTAAATCTTATGCAGCACTTAAACAGAATAGTAGTATAGAGACTTGGTCCTGAAATTATTAAATTATTTTAAATGCCCAAGGGTTCCTTTCTACTTTTTAAAAAGAAAAAGCTTATGACTTATTCCCTTGTTGTAGTAGAGAAATGAGATTGTTTTAACTCTATTATAAAGAAACTTCTCAGTGCCAGGCATGGTGATGCATTCCTGTAATCCCAATGACTCAGGAGGCTAAGGCAGGAGGATCATGAGTTCAAATCCAGCCTCAGCAACTTAGAGAAGCCCTAACCAACTCAGTGGGACTCTGACTTTAGTAAAATATAAAAAGGGGCTGGGGATGTGGCTTGGTGGTTATGCACCCCTGGGTTCAATCCCTGATACAAAAAAAAAAAAAAAAGAAAGAAAAAAAAAGAAACTTCTCAATAATTAAGTTTTACATAACAAATATTTCTATACAGTCACCTGCTTAATGTAAACATCTTATTTTCCCTCTTACAAAACCTAACATTCATTTTGTAACCAGTGAGTAGGCAACCTGCTTTATACCCAGAGGGTTAATTCATCATAAAACTTTATTTCATAATAATTTCCAGTGTTTTAATAGCTATTCAATAGCGTTTTTTAAAAAATAGTTTTTAGTTCTCAATAGATCCTTTAATTTATTTATTTATCTATATATTTATTTATTTATTCATATTCGGTGCTGAGGATCGAACCCAGGGCCTCACACATGCCAGGCAAGCGCTCTACCACTGAGCCACAACTCCAGCCCCATATTCATTACTACTTTAATAGTATATTTTGAATGTACATCGAGTGTAAATTTTTTCTGAGTATCTTTAAAGTTGGAAACACTCAAGTGTAGATTATTTACYCCCTCAACAGGGATGAGAAATGTTAGATTTAATAAAAGAAATAAAATAAAATAAAGGGGCTGGAGATGTTGCTCAGTGGTAGAGTGCTTACCTAGCATGTATGAGACCCTGTATTCAATCCCTAGCTGTGAAAAAAAAAAAAGTAAATTATTTTAGCAGGTCATACAACCTATTTTAAAAAACTAATAATAAGCAACAATCTTATCAGCTAAATAGGAGAATAGTGTTACCTCTATGAATTAAAAAAAAATTTTTTTTTGTCAGTTCTGGGGACCAAACCCAGAACCTCATGCATACTGACCACATTCTCTATCATGGAGTTACGCCCCCAGCCTGAGGTATTTGTCTGTTTTGTGACTGGCTTATTTCACTTAGAATAATATCCTTCAGGTTTATCCATGTTGTGGTATGTCAAAATTCCTTCTAATAAAGGCTGAATAGTTTTCCACTGATAACTCCATTATCAACCACACTTTGTGTATCCATTTATCAGTGGATACACAAGTGTGTATCACTTGGGTTGCTTCAGGGCCCACTGGAATTTTGAGAAGGGCTTCTCATGAACAACTCTCCTGTTCTCATGCCCTAAATTGCCACACCCCACACCCCTAGACAAGGTCTTTCATCTCATAAATCGAGTCGTAGATTATATGCCCCTGTCACTTCAAGGTACACAGGGGAAGAGCTCATCTTCAGCGTCCACATTTTAGGTTGTCCTTCCTTTTCTTTCTTTCTTTCTTTCTTTTCTTTTTTTTTTTTTTTTGGTACTGGGGATTAAACCCAGAGGCACTTTACCATTGAGCTGCATCCCCAGCCTTTTTTATTTTTATTATTATTTTTTTTTAACTTTTAAATTTTGAGACCAGATCTCACTAAGTTGCTTAGGGCCTCACTATATTTTTGAGGCTGGTTTTGAATTTGCCATCCTCCTGCCTCGGCCTCCTGAGTCCCTGGGATTACAGGCATGGGTCACCCAGCTTTCTTTACTTTTTCTTCCCCTGTTATGGTCATTGCAGTCTAGCACATATAGTTGCTTTGAGTTAACAATTCAACTTTTGTACTTGAGAGGAAGTTAGGAGGTATCAGCAGTTTAGACAAACCTTACCAGTTTATATAGCAAGTAGTTTAAGGTATTGACATAGGCATCATGAGTATGGTGGGTATCAGGAGGATGCACACCCCTGGAACTGTATTAGTTAATTTATTTGATAAACATGCATCAGGGGGCTGGGATTATGGCTCAGTGGTAGAGGACTTGCCTAGCATGTGTGAGGCACTGGGTGGAGTCTCAGTACTGCATATAAATAAATAAAATAAAGGTTCACTGAAAACTAAAAAATATTTTTAAAAAATGCAACAGATACTTTCTATATGTAGGGCTCATATGGGGCTTCATGCTTCGAACACACAGATGAACAAGAAGCCGGGACCTTAGGGCTTACTGGGGAAACAGACAGAGTTCACGGTGAGGGGCTGGGGATGTGGCTCAGTGGTAAAGTGCTTGCTTCGCATGTGTGAGGCCCTGAGTTAGATTCTCAGCACCACGTATAAATAAATGAATAAAGTAAAAGGTCCATCAACAACTAAAAAAATATATATATATTAAAAAATATTCYGGAGCTGGGGTTGTGGCTCAGTGGTAGAGCGCTAGCCTAGCACATGGGAGACCTGGGTTCCATCCTCAGCATCACATAAAAAACCAAATAAACAAAATAAAGGTATTGTGCCCAACTATTTAAAGAAAAATTCCACAGTGAGGAGCTAGCTGTACCTGGGCTGAATATATTGCCTGATCAGAAGTGTGCCACAGTATAAAGTAAGCCACGTGCCTGGATGTGATACTTGAATACCTCCACTATGCCTTTGCTGATGGGCTTTTCTTTTTCCTTTTTTTTTTTTTTTTTTTTGATTCCTTAGTGGAATTCCCAAAAGCTCTGTCTTCCTCCTCATTGCCTGACCAGAGCTGCCCTCAACCTAGGAGGACCTCTCGTTTTGCTCAGTGTAAGTATGTGGTCCATTTAAAACTCAGGTTTGGGGGCTGGGGCTGTGGCTCAGTGGTAGAGCACTAGCTTTGCATGTGTGAGACACTGGATTCMATTCTCAGCACCCAGCACCGCATATAAATAAATAAGTAAACTAAAGGTTCATTAACAGCTAAAAAAATATATTGAAAAGAAACAACTGGGAGGTGCTGGGGTTGTGGCTCAGCAGTAGAGCGCTCACCTCACATGTACGAGACCCTGGGTTCAATCCTCAGCACCACACAAAAATAAATAAGTGAGATAAAGGTATTGTGTCCAGCTACAACTAAAAAAAAAAATAAAATAAAATAAATATTTAAAAGAAGAAAAAGGTAGAGCGAAAAGCAAGAGCATACTGTCTGTCTTCCCGCTGCAAGGCCCACTCCCTGGCTGACTGTACTTGTGTTTGTTGTCCAGAATAGGTCCCTCCACATGGGGAGTTGAGTACAAAGGCAAAGAGGCGTTGAGACTCCCAAATTTCAGACTCAGCTAGACCCATGAGCACTTAGAGCCCAGGCAACCTTTGAATATCCAGGTGGGGGTCACCAATTACAGCCAACTGCCTGTTCCCCCACCTGCATAGGTGCTACTGCTGTCCGAGTCTGGGGAGTCCKTAAGAGCATGGATCATGGAGCTGGGGGTGTGACTCCCAGCATCACTAGCTGTGTGAGCTTGGATGAATCACTTCGTCCCTCAGAGCCTCAGTTTCCTCATTTATAAAATGGTGATAACAATAGCATTTCTCTTGTGGGCTTTCTGTAAGGATGCACAAGTGCATGTATGTGAAATAATGCATTGAGTGGTCATGGCACATAAGAGTTATCAGTTGTTCACTCGGTAGGAAACAATAGGGGTTGGGGTGTCGCTCAGTGGTAGAGCACTTGTCTAGCACGTCTGAGGCCCTGGGTTTGATCACTAACCCTGGAAAAAA